GCTGTCAGTGACCTTGGTTATGTGCTGTGAAACAACTGATCACAGCGTTGCCTGTGGGTCCAGATTAGGAAAACACGTATTAGGAAAATCACTGCTAAAAACAATCCAGAACCACCGAATTATACATTTTAAAAAAGGCAACAGAAAAACAATCCAGGATGTTGATGCTGTGTTGGCCACTGTTTGAGGGGCCTCAGTACAGTTCTCTAAAAGATGTTCAGGGTATGTGCGAGTACATGCCTGTAATCTCAGTGACTCAGGAGGTGGAAGCTGAGGCTGGAGGATTGAAAGTTTGAGGCCAGCTGGGCAACTGAGACCCTGTCTTAGAATAAAAAATAAAAAGGGCTAGGGATGTGGCTTAATATTATAGCAACCCTGGATTCAACCCCCAGCACCATAGGCAGGGGGAGAGAGAGTGTTGGAAGCCGTGTATAAATTATGGGTTTGTATGAGCCATCACAAGGCAGGAAGGCTACTTTTCTGGGATTTCCTGGGTGAAATTCCCCTGGCGCCCTGCCTTGGCTCACAGCCCTAGATCAGTGGCAGCTGCCTAGATTCCCAAACAACTTGTTTTTCCCATTCTTTTCTGATCTTCCTGAAGCTTCTAGTTTGAGTTTCAGGCACTGAAACTCACCTCCCACTGTGGAGGCAGGAAATTTAGCTCACTCCCCTCTTCCACCAGGTTCACACATTCCCTCCTCTGTGTGTGCAAAGCAGATTAAGACTTAGAAACAGCTGAGCTGGGGAGTGAACTAAGGTGCTTCTCCCCTCTTCTACCACCTCTTGCTTCCCAAAGAACTGATAATTGCTGCAGAGATCCAGCTTGCATGACGACACCATCCTGGTTATAACTGCCATTTTGCCTGCCAGGTGACCCTGATGTGCATTCCAAATCCTATAGGACCAACCAAGCTCTCAAGAGAAGAGCATGTTGTGCTGACCAACAGTTTTTTAACTGGCATGCGAACATACCAAGCTCTTGAGAAAGGTCAGGTACTGTCTGGATAGTAGCAGCCCACTTTTGTCTAGCTTAGTATATAAATCCCTTCTTCTTGCCCTAGTGTGCGAGGACCCATCATCACTAGCTGCTGCTCGAGATGCACTTCTGTTTTAAATCCCTAGTAAACTGCACTTTGTGCAAGCCCGAGTCTTTTCTTTGGTCTCATGGCACCTTCCACCTGCTTTGGCAGCTGATTCTCACATAATGGGACCAGGTTTTTCCAAATAGTTGTCCTTTCAGTTTGCGTAGCTTTCTATACTTAGCATTAACTCCAGCCTGAACGCGTTGACAGTTATCTAAACCTCCCATTGAGATGTTCGGGAACATTCATTATTCTACTAAGTTCATCTTGAAGAGACTGCACCCAGGGCCCCATCACCTACTCCAAAGCCGCCTGGGACCCACTGTGCACGAAGTCTTGGCATCCTCTCCCTTTTACACCCAATAGTTTTCTCAAGGAACAACCTCCCCAATCTTGGCTTATTCCCTTATCTTCCCAAATTATAACCTCCAGTAGCTTCTGGAGAAAAGCTGCATGATAGGCAAGGAAAGAAATGAAAAATGGGAGGCATGATAATGCCCTTGATTTCTAGGTTGGAAATAATTCCCCCCAATTATTTAAGGGATGGCTCCACAGTACAGCCCTTGTATAATAAGGGGACATTTTGATTCCTCTATGTATATATAACTTTTTTTCTTTCTGGGGACTTATTGGAACTTTGTCACTAATATTCTGAAAATTTCAAACTTACTCATTTCTGTAGCGGAGGCGTTATCATGCTTGCCTGACACTACATACTCATTGGAGGTCTATTTTTACCCATTTTGCTGGGTATTTAGCAAGTCATTTCAATCCAGAAACCCCTATCAGTTCTGGTATTATTATTATTTTTAATCTCCTGGCCTCTGTTTTCTATTTATGATTTGGAAATAAAAAAACATGTACCATAATTTTTTTCTCACCATTTACACAAATGATATATACCATACACACTATTGCTCAAGTTGCCTTTTCTTTTTAATGACTCTTGGTGATCTTTCCATATCAGCTTACATGATAGAAGCTCAACTTCTTGGTTTTTTGTTTTTTTTTTTAATTTTAAATTTTTGATGAGTGTTGAACCCAGGGGTACTTAACTACTGAGCCAATCCCCAGCTCTTAAAAAAAAAATTATATATATTTAATTTAGAGACAGGGTCTTACAGAATTGCTTAGTGCCTTGCTAAATCTATGAGGCTGGCTTTGAACTCCTGCCACTCCTGCCTCTGGGATGACAGGCATGTGCCAGTGCACCCAGCTTAAATTCTTGTTTTTGACATTTTCTCAAGTGATGGTCCTTCCAAAAATTCTACTGGGCTTTCATTTCTTTCACATTTTTGACCCCAAACATTCACGCATATAAAGTGATCCTGTTATTTCATGGATGCGCTATCTTCTCTCATTCTTTAAATACATAAAGATATTTAGATGCTTTCTTCTCCCTCCAAGATGATTCTTTGGTTTTAATATTCAACTTTCATCCTGGAGATGTGGCATGGTTTAACTATGAATTATCCCTGCAAAGCTCACGTGTGAGATAACGTAAGAATGTTCAAAGAAAACTGAATTGAAAGTTATAACCTAATCAGTGGATTAATCCAATGATATGGATTAACTGGGTGGTAACTGAAGAAGGATGGGGTATGGCTGGAGGAAGTAGGTCACTGGGGGAATGCCTTTGGGATTTTTGTCCTCATTGAGCAGAGGTCTTTCTCTGCTTCCTTCTGCATTCCTCCACCACACCCTTCCATCATGATGTTCTGCCTCACTTTGGGACAGGAGCTGTGAAGTCAGTCATCTATGGACTGAAATCTCTGGAACCATGAGCACCAAACACACTTTTCTTCTTCTTCTAAAATTGTTCTTGTCAGTTCTTTTGGTCAGTGACAAAAAAATCTGACTAAAACAAGGTGGTTTTCAGATGTCTGTCAATCCTTGGTTTATTGCTCCTCGTTGAGGGCAGAACACTGAAGACCTGATGGACAGTAAGCACCTGGGTGGGGTTTGACAGTTGCAATCTGACTTCTTTGGGTGATCTGGTTAGCTGTTTCCTTAGGAATTCCAATGCCATTGTCAGCATTTCCACTGAAGCTGGCTGAATTCCCTACAGAAAAATCTCCATTTTCTACCTAGAGGACAAATATATGCTTTCCAACTTGAAAATTTTTGTGGCGGCCATCTCTTAATTTTTTTGCCCTTATGGTTTAAAAAAAGAAAAACCACCTTCAACTGTCATTTTAGTATGACTTCAGAAAAGTCCAAAGCAAATACATATGATTAATTCATCAAATTACCGCAAGTTCTTTATTCACATTTGAGTCTACAGCAGTCTGGCTTCCAGCCTTACCAAAATTTATCAGCTAACATCACTGCTGACTTTCACTATCAGTCTCAGTAACATCTTTCTGTCTTTATTTCACCTGGGTTTCTTTAAAGCACTGGATGCTCAAGTTCATGGCCTCTCTTGAACTCAGTCACAACTCCACCATGATAGTGGCCAATCCTCCTGATTGAGCTGTCACTCTTTTTCACAAAACCCCCCAAGTCTCAAGTTCCTCGGGCTTTTTAGACCTCTGCTCTTCTCATTCTTAACACTCTCCTATGATTTGATGAAGTACAGATGTGTTTACACAGTTGCCTGCTAGACAACCATACTTGGATTTCTCATAAGCACCCACAAACTCAACATTTGGAATATCAAAATCATTATTGTTTTTATACAAACCTACACCTCGCATTTTCCCTTTCTCAATGGAGGGTGCCCTCATCTACAAGGTCAATCAGTCAGACAGTGGGGATTCATATTGAGATTCTATTACTGAGTCACCACACCCACCTAAGCACTAAGACCTATTGATTCTACCACCTTCTTCTTTTTTTGGTACCCGGGACTATACCCAGAGGTTCAATCCACTGAGCCATTAATCCACATCCCCATCCCTTTTTATTTAGAGACAGGGTCTCAATAAGTTGCTTAAAGCCTTAGTTGCTGAAGCTGGCCTCAAACTTCTCTGCCTCAGCCTCCTAAGTCATTGGAATTACAGGTGCTCACTCACCACCATGCCTGGGTGATTCTACCTTCCTAATATCAAGAACAGTTCATCAGAATTACTTACGACTTGTTAAATACCAACTTCTGGGACTCAAACCCAGAGTTTCTGACCTCTAAGTCTGAAGTGGCAACTAGAGATTTTAGTTCCAACAAGGTCCCGAGTGACGTCAATGCTGCCTTTCTGGGGGCCACACTTTCAGAAACACAAATATGTGTGTCCATTCCTTAATCATCAGTCCTAGTTATATCTTATTAATATCCCAAGTATTTTTTTATTTATCTGACCACCTTAAAACATCCTCCAAACTATATCTGGAATGATCTTCCTAAAAAAGATCTGATGTCAGAAGATCCTGAATTCATTTGGTTTAATTTGGAGAAAAATGTGCTGAATTCTTTGATGATGCCATGTCTCTCCTTCACCTGCCATCAGCATCCTACAACAGCCATATGCCAAAATATTGAACACCAAATCCATGTACATCTATGGGATGTGTCATCAATGGTCATTTCTGTAAAAATTTACAACTTTATTACAATATCCACTCAGGATCCACAAGTCTAGTGAACTGGGTACCAGGTACAATCTTTTTGCTCCCTTCCCCTCTACAGTAATTACCCACCTCCACTTTCCCTTACAAGTATTATCCATCTCTTTAACTGTACCTGCTGGAAAAACAAGAAGTCTAGCTACTGTCACTTTATACTTGTATTTTATGTATAATGCCGCTACCCAGTTTAAACTGTGAGCCCCAAAATGACAAAGATTCACACTATGTCTTATATATGTGTGACTCCCCATGGCATGAAAAGCTCATTCTCCGCTTGACATATTATATGAAAAGTGACAAGCTGCTGAAAAGAAAAAACAGTAAAAAGTGAAAGTTTAAAAATGACAGTGCTGAAGCTAGATGTCACAGTGGCATGCCAGCATTGCAATGCCTGTTTAATTGAAACCTTGTAATAAAAGTTTAAATACATAAAATGTTTTTTGTTTTTTGTTTTTTATCAAAAGAACATCCCCCACTTCCCTGACCTGATGCATATGGAGGATAGGCAAGTGGAAACTGGCTATCTGTAGAGAACAGAGAAATGGCAGGTCCAACTCTGGTTGGGTTCCTCTTCCCCAGAAAATGCTCTATGATTGAATTCAGAGTCTCAGGTGAGCAGGACCCTACCCACGCTGGCTTTCTTCAGCACTTGGGAGTCCTCGGCAAGCCCCTCTGTGCAGAGAACACTCGTCTTGGTCTCAGAAGACAAGGAAGAGCAGGGCTTCGTGCCTGGGCAGCACTATGTTTTCCACAGTGCGTTCCATGGAGCGTACCTGCTCCGGAGAGGCAGTCAAGAATGCCAAAGGCCCAATCCGCTGCTCTGCACAGGAGTGGCAGAGGTAGCCACCCTTGTTTTCCTTCCTGTTGCTCTGGTGATAGATGAGAAAAAGAGGTAAGGGAAAAACCCAAGGATGAAGATTTTTCTGCTACATAGTGATCAAATACTGTCATAGCTGCCCAGGGACAAGGCACTATTATGATTCTGATGTTTTCAGACCTGTGCAAACCCTCAGAGGTAACAACTCCCACAGCACCATTATCAACAAAAGACTTAACTCTATCAAATTCTTTTAGGATAGTAACCACCATTTATCTAGTGAAGAGATAAAAAAAATTGGGGGCTGGGAGTGTAGCTCAGTGGGTTTGGTCCCCAGCACAAAGAAGGAGAGGGGGAGAGCACACCAAGAAAAAAACAAACTGAGCCCTCCAGGTAAACAGTCCTCCTCTGAAGTGTCAGGTCACAGCCTCATCTCATAGATAGGAAAGCTTCAGCTCAGTCAGACTGTACTGCCCACCCTGACTCCAGATTACACTGTGTGACCAAGGGCAGATCTCACATCTGTGATGCTTCTCATGTCTAAAGCCCTTAGGAAAGATTACACAAATGTCTCCTTTATCTCCCTCACCCAAAATCCAGGCAAACACATAGCTCTCAAGCAATAAAATGTACATGACTGAATTAAATTCTATAGACAAAAAACATACATAAGTGATGGGCAGCTTCTTCATGGTGAGGACAGTATCCACAGGGATGGCATTGTTGCACTGACCCACACAGCAGCGAACCACTCCAGTTTTTAAAACATTACTTGTTAGCTCTGCTTGCAAGAAGTACTCCTGAGAAGAAAAGAGAAAGAGATCAATAGCCATACCTCTGCTACCTCCTACTTGGAAACTCCAACAATTATGAAGCTGTAAACTCCCTTTGGACATATCCAGAATGAGAAAACTCCTGACTCTCCTGCTTTCCTTGGAGTTTCTCTAACTTCTTCTGCTGCCAAAGCTGCTATTGCCAAGAGAGAATACTCAGGACAGTCTGATGGGCTTCCTGGTAAAATTACCAGTTTAAAAAAAAAAAAGATTTAAAGGACAAACTTGTAAAAAACTAATGGTTGCAATGGGATTTCAGGACTACTTCTGGGTTATATCTTAAACTAACCCATCCCTAACTGCACCAATAGAAAATTATTTGTATGTTCACTTTACAACACAGGGAAGCTGAAACTGCAAACCTTAAAAAAAACCTTTCCCTAACCAACCCTGCATATTTGCATTTCCCCCAGGCCACTGGCTGACCAGGGGACAAATGACCCCTTAAGCCTCAAGCTTCTTTATCTGTAAAATGCAAAACAACATGGTACCTACTTCAAATGGTTGCTATGAGTAACACACATGAAAGTATGTGTAGAGTGCTTCTGTCTGGCAAAGGTGGGCACCCAGATAAAATGCTGATCATCTCCTAAACTGACCACGAGGTGACCTGACAGATGCTGTTGCCCTCAAGGAGCTCCACATGGTGCTGCTGTACTAGCAGGGCTGGAAGTATCTGCCCATCAATAAATGATGATTTCATGTTTTCTGAACTACAAGTGGCTATTTATAGATTTTTTCCCCCCACAACTATGCTGCACACTTTGTTTTTCTCTCTTGGAAAACCTGCCTACCTGCTACAGAAAAGAAAAGAAAATATAAACACTCAAGCGTCAATCAATATTCACTGACAATTGACAGCATGAAATCTTTCTTTACAGATTTTGCAGAAGTCCCTTTGCCTGTTATCTCCATTCCCTTTCCCAGAAGCAACCACCATCAAGACTCTGGCATGTCTCCTTTCTGACCCATTCCAAAATAATTCTTCGCCTTTACATATACATCCAAGAACACAAGGCAGCATTTTATGGGTGTCACACTTTTTGTCTCCCTCTCACCTAGCCATTTTTCTCGAGTGCTATTCATAGAACTCAATCCTTGCACTCTTTTACATTTTATCTATCCCTTTCCTTAGCATGGATATTCAGATTGTCTCCAAATATTTCCAGCAATAGCAATTAATATTTTTGTACATGTTTCTACTGTATGAATTTCTCTAGGACTGGTTTTCAAATTTCCTTGACCCACTTACATTGACATTTTACACATGCACACATGTATAAGAAATTAAAATAAAAATTTCATGAAATGCTACTGAACCTTACATGCAAGGTATCCATTTTAAGATTTTATCCCATTTCACTTTTTTTAAAAAAGCTTGTCATAATCCACAATTAATAAATCATAATGAACTAACTACAACCTACACTTCGAAAAATACTGCTCTAGAGCAGCAGTGCAGTTTGGTCTCAGGGCTCCTTATGCTACTAAACATTAAGGACTCCAGGAGATTATGTATATATGAGTTGTTAATATTTGCCATGTTAGAGGTTTAAACTAAAAAAATTTTGAAATATCCTCTTTAAAAATAACAATAGTCACTGAGCACAATGGTGTACACCACACCTGTAATCCCACTAGCTTGGGAGGCTGAGGCAGGAAGATTGAGAGTACAAAGCCAGCCTCAGCAAAAGCGAGGCACAAAGCAACTCAGTGAGACCCCGTCTCTAAATAAAATACAAAACAGGGCTGGGGATGTGGCTCAGGGATCGTGTGCCCCTGAATTCAATCCCTAGTACCCCCCCCCCCCAAAAAAAAAAAAAAATATATATATATATATAAATCATGGTTTTAAACAACCATATTAAAAAATAAATAAATAGGGCTGGGGATGTGGCTCAAGCGGTAGCGCGCTCGCCTGGCATGCGTGCGGCCCGGGTTCGATACTCAGCACCACATACCAACAAAGATGTTGTGTCCGCCGAGAACTAAAAATAAATAAATAAATATTTAAAAATAAATAAATAAATAAACTTTGAAGAGTAGCATTATTTTACATTTCTACAAATCTGCCTTAATACCTAGGTTTGATAAAAGACAACTGGATTCTCATCTCTGCTTCCGCAATCAATCTGTGTTGCCATCACATGTCAGGTAGCCTCTGGAGACTCCACTTATGAAAGCATCAGAGTGAAAAGCACAAATAACACCTTAACATCTGCAAACACTGTTATATGTTCAATATGGACTACAACAGTGTTACATGTGTAATATGTGCTACTAACTGTGCATTACATATATAACATACATGTACCAGAAATACAGTATATATTGCACACATGGTATATGTACTGTGAACAGTATATCCGTGTCATATAAACATAACACATACTGTAAACAGTGTGTGTTACATACACAATATAAACTAAGAACCCAGTTTGACTTTGTAGAATCCAGGAAGTAAATCTGCATCAAAATGTAATATACTAGGGCTGGGGTTGTGGCTCAGCAGTAGAGTATTCACCCAGCACATGCAAGGCGCTGGGTTTGATCCTTAGCACCACATAAAAAATAAATAAATAAAATAAAGGTATTATGTACAACTACAACTAAAAAAATTTTTAAAAAATATAATATACTTCGGGGCTGGGGTTGTGGCTCAGCAGTAGAGCATTCGCCTTGCACCTGCAGGACCCTGGGTTCGATCCTCAGCACCACATAAAAATAAATAAGTGAAATAAAGATATGTGTCCAACTACAACTAAAAAATAAATATTAAAAAAATGTAATACACTTCAATATGACAAAATCATAGCTAACGTTTCCTTAACCTGTTAAAAACATCCTTTGAGGTACAGTTATTGCTATTAATGTATTTTTACAGATAATGAAACTGAGGCAAACTGGTTAAGTAACGTGCCCTTGGTCGCAAAGGTGTGAGTGGAAGAACTGGGATGTGAACCAGACCTTCACTTTACCATGAAGGTAAAGAACCCACAGAAGGGAAGGGTACTCCCTTTCATCCATTCAACTAGCACTTGCTAAGCACCAACTATGTGCGAGGTACTGCCGTGAGGATATACTTATGAAATTTGGGTTAAGAATCTAAGATCTTGACGACTGAGAATTTGTCTTCTGTGCAACTAGCCTAACCCCACATCACTTTATACCCTCAAAAATGTAATGATTTCATGATTTGCTTCACTTCCTCAAAACCTTTTTATTTTATTTATTTTAGGGTGTTAGGGACTGAACCCAGGGCCTTGAGCATGCTAGGCAAGCACTCTATCACTAAGGTATATTCCCAAGACCACTTGCTCAAAACTTAAAAAGAAACAAATGAACTACAACCACCACAAAAACTTATGGTGATTACATTAGCTATATTTTCTAAGGGGATGCTATGGTTTGAATATGGTTTGTCCCCCAAAGATTCATGTGCTGGAATCTTGATCCCTGGGTTGGCAGTGCTGAGGCGGTGGTACCTTTAAGAGATGGCGCCTACTGCAAGGTAGTTAGGTCATGGGGGCACTGCCTCAGAGGGGATCCATGTTGACCTCCAGTTGCCAGTAAATTCTCATGAGAATGGGTCATTATAAAGTGAAGTCGCCCCATACACTTGCCCCCTTCTATATATCGCCAGTTTCCTTTCTGTACCTCCACCATGTTGTGATGCAGCCAGGAGGCCCTGGCCAGGATTCTACAAACATACTATTTGGCTCTTCCAGTCATTGAAATCAAGCCAAATAAACTTCTTAATTTTTTAAAGTACTCTGCCTCAGATATTTTGTTGTAGCAACACAGAGTAGACTAATACAGGAGTCAAGAACAAGGAGGCTGCCTTACCTGTTTTTGGTTATAGAAGAGATCAAAATGGCTTATCAGCTCAGGTAGCAGACTTTATGTCTTTATGTCTCTAAAATGTCACACCCATGGCTCCACCATTCTCCACAGGCTTTTGAAGTCTCTAAATTAGTTCCCTCACCCTCATCCCAGAGTCTTCAATATCCTCTATGGCCTGCCTTTCTTACCACAGGCTGGACTCAGCCACTTCTGCAACAGGATGTCCCCACATTTACTCACAGATTGCAATAAAGAAAAAGCAGAAGTATTTGACCTCATGCAAGATCTTTCAGACTTAAACATCTGTTCACCCAAACAGGCAGCTTCCCAGGGCTTCCTGAGAGCAACTCTGTGGGCAGACAGATGTTTTCCCACCCAGTCTCATAAGGGGGAACCATTTTTCTAGGTTCCGTATTATTTTCTTCTATGGGGAAAACTCACTTTCTTCATAATATGTATGCAACAGCTAACTGACCAGTTTCCAATTAGTTTTAAAAATCCTTTTTAGGGCTGGGGAAGTGGCTCAAGCGGTGGCGCGCTCGCCTGGCATGCGTGCGGCCCGGGTTCGATCCTCAGCACCACATACAAACAAAATGTTGTGTCCGCGGAAAACTAAAAAATAAAAATTCTCCCTCTCTCTCTCTCTTTAAAAAAAAAAAAATCCTTTTTAATTCTTACACATAACTGGTGAGCTTCTAAATGATGCAATCTCCAGAGGAATTTCACAATAGGTGGAAAAGTCACACTTGGGTTTGTCTTTACCCAGCAGCTCCAGTTTTAGAAATATATCCTCCACTGATCTCTTTTCTATTATTATTATTATTATTATTTTAATTAGTGCATTATAATTATATATATATACACATGGGATTCACTATGGTATATTAATACATGAACATACAACAGTTTGGTAGATTTCATTACAAATGTACCTTCGAGGTATACTGGCAAAAACAGAATTATGACTCATAGATAAGATTATGCATTGTGTCATCATAAAAGCAAATGACTGGAAGCAACCCTATGTCTAAGGCAAAGAGCATAAGTCATGGTACAGTGACACAGACCACTGCTCAGCTGTGCAAGCTTTATGAACTAATGGTGATTTCCTTTTTTCTTTTTTT